TTGATCGCTTAATAGCCATCGTATCACTGACAAAGACTGTAGGCCAGCAACCGCCGTCGCCGCGTACACCATCCTCGGACCCAAGGCCGTCATGCCCGCTTTCAGCTTGGCGACGCTCCTCCTGGGCGCCAACAACATCCCCGGCCGCCACGTTCCCACCAATGTCGCCAAGTCCGTTCTGCCCGCCATCGTCACAGGCTACGGCATCCCTATGGTTCTGGCTTCCCTGCCCATCCAGAACCCCCACCTCCGCCAAGCTGCCAACGTAGTCGCCACCGCGGCTCCTCTCCTCAGCGCGGCCCTCCTCAAGCTGATCCCCAACGCCATTAAGACCGTTAAGAACCTCATCAACCCGCCTAAGCCAGACGTCGAGGTCAAGGAGGAAGAGACAGAGGAGTTCTTGGACATGTACCAGAAGAAGGACGTGGCGCCCCTCAAGTCCACCTATGCCTTCACTGCGGGCGTTTGCGCCGTCGCTCATGTTGTTGGTGCCATCTACACCAACTTCGAGAGCCCTTCCGCAGTTGGAGCTGCTGGTCTGCTCACTGGTAGCAGCGCCTTGTTTGGTCTGGCCTCTGTCACCTTGTCTTCTTATTTGACCTGGGACTTGAGGACACAGGGATACCTGACCAATAAGCAAACCCTAGCCGCGGGTCTGGCTAACCTTGCTGGCAACGTCTTACTCGGCCCAGGAGCTGCTTTCTCTAGCTTCTTTTACTGGCGCGAGCACGTCATTTCTAGCTTGGGCGACACATTTCCTTGAGTAAATCAGCAGGAGCATAGACGCATAGAGACGTTGTTGTCATCTCATCATGGGTTTCATCTTCTTTGTTTGTAGCGTGGGCTTAGACTAAACGGTCTCTTCATGTCATAGAATGTAGTTTATATCATAAAATGGGAATTTAAGACGGAGATTATCCACATTTATTAGAACCTTTGCATCTCTGGTAGACATATGTGAAGAAACTCAAATTCTCACCCTGTAGTCAAACCATGACTGGACCAACAGAGATCTAGAAGCAAGGATGCAACCACCCGCCATGCAGAGAACTCCGACGTATAAGCCAGCCAGTGCCATACCGCCAATGCTTTCCAAAATCTGACCTCCGATTGGGACTGTAATCAAGAGAGCAAAGCTGACAGTGAAGTTCATACTCCCAAAGCATCGACCGTAGTCCTTGGTCTGGCATGTCTTGCCCATGCATGCAGGAATCAGGGATGAGAACACCCCCGAGCTGAAGCCCCACAGGACCGCAAACACGTACAAAGCCTGTATATGCGTTGTGCCGAATGGGAGTATCGTAACTGCGACACAAACAATTGTCACACATGTGCTCGTGAACAAAACATTGTAGTGCCCGAGCTTGTCGCCCAGGAACCCGGCCCCGATTCTGCTGATGCAGCCACAGCCGTTGACGATGGCTACGATGTTATATCCCGTGTCAGCAGGATACCCGGCCCAGTTTGCCAATGTGGGAAAGATGCCTGAAATGCCGAAGATGACGAACTCGAGAAGGAAAAAGGCCGCTGCGATGAGTGAGAAGGCGGGGACGCGGAAGGCGGCGAAGTTGATGGTCGCGCTTGCGGCGCGATGTCTCGGGGTGGAGACAGCATAGTCAGCAGATGGCTGTGAGGGAACAACGAGTTGCGTGTGATGATGGGTTCGCGAGAGCTTCGCAAAGGGGATGAAGCATAGCGTCCCTGGGATCATGACGCCTGCGATGGTGAAGCCCACGAACCGCATCGACCAGGCCCAGCCCCATTTGGGGAATAGCTCCCGCAGAAGAAATGGGAAGACTACACCACCGAGCGCGGAACCGGTGAGTGCTAGACCTATGGCGAGGCCGCGCAATCTCGTGAATATCTTGCCGACGACGGACACGGCGACCGTCGAGGCCAACGCGCCGCCGATGCCGCCGTAGATACCAAGGCAGAGCATGAACTGCCAGTAATACTTGCATTCGGCCAGGAGGAAGAAAGTTGGAAGGGTAAGAGCTGTAGAAAGAGGTGCGAGCACTTCGGTCCCATAGCGGTCAACTATGGGCCCTGCTTGGATCCCGAGGAAAAGTGTGAGGGCGGTGTAGAGGCCCGTCACCCAGCCGATGTCGCGGGCCGAGTATCCTGAGAGCTGGTGTTCTTGGAGATAGGCTTGGACTGTACCGATGGCCTGGGGAAATCCTGAAGTGATGTATTTAACAGACTGTTTCTTCGAAGATGGTAGTAATTCAGACTCACCGTATGATGGCAGCAGGAATATGAACGCTCCCAGAACGCATACCCAAGATGAAATCCTGTTCTCAATGTCTGCTGACCTGGTGTTTCGTAGACTTGGGGCATCTGAAGGAGGTGCTTGTTGACCGCTCTCCAGCTCAAAATTGGTTGACGCAGCTTCGCGCGGCATTCCGAGGTCGGAGTTGTTCTGGGCGCTTGGCGATGACATTGCCAACAGAGAGTAGCTTGGCCTCAACCCTTGAAATACGCAGAGTTGTATTGGATCACTTGAGAATGCGGAACAGAGAAGACTCCTCCAGATACACACACGGGGGGACTTGCGGGTTGAGAGAGTAGTGTTGGAAGAAAGGCGGTCGAGAAACTGAGATGATAGTGCGGGGATCGGCGGCGCTACGGTGTGGGATGCCGACTGTGGAGTCTCGCCGGTCCGGCCCGAGGTGGCCCACAGTCGGATCGAGTTCCGGGCGTGGATTGTGGCTCAGGCATCGCTACTGCGACGTGTGTTCAAAGTGGGCTATATCCTTGGGGACATGAGATATCGAAACTGTTGGTAAATGAGCAGACTGACTGGGACATTCAACTCTATGCGCTAATCTCATCTTTTGCCTTCCTTCCTCACCCAGTATCTACACGTTGATGATCTTCTTAATGTAATCTATAAGCTCATCTCCCTTGTGCTGGCCAAATTCGTCTTCAAATGTGCCAACCCGGAGTTGCGATTCGATCTCGTCTGCATCTGGGACCGGATGTCGCTCATAATTGACGGGCCCATCCGAGATGGAGTGGGGGATGAACACCGAGGCATTCGTCGTGATGGGCGTTCTGTCTTCCCGAACACCCATGCCCACGCAGTCGCCATCGACAAACCAAAGTCCCAAGACAGGAAAGTTGGACTGGCCCTGCTCATCCTTGAAGTCAGGAGGCAGCGCCAGCTCCTGCACCACGTAACCCTCGTATCCGTAGTAGCCCATGGACGCGTCCTGAAGCACCTCCCCGTCGGTCTTAAGAACCACGTCGGCTCCTTCGCGGGAGAAGATCGGCTTCCGTGCATACGTTGTTAGTGTAGAAGGCACCTCGTTGTCGAAGTAAGTAGGAAGCAACCACTTGGAGCGCGGGTCATCCTTGAAGAGCTCCCAAAGGACAGCGAAGAGTGCTTTGTTGCTCCACACCAGCTTATATGGTGCCTCGATCCAGATCGTGCCGCCGATGTACTGCCCCGTCGCGTCGCGTTTTCCGATGTTCTCCATGTCCTTGAAACATGCCTCTCCAAACTTCTGCACCACCATGTACTCCCACGGGTACAACTTGAAAATAACGTCAATGTGCTCGCCCTGCTTGTCGTAGAAGCGGCCGTCGACTTTGGACAGGCTGATTTCCTCCACAGTGATGGCTTTGGTCTGCCATCCTGCTTGTTGACATGTGTCCATCAGAAGCATCGTGTTTGATGCGTCCTCGCAAGTTGGCTCGCCTTCTCCCACGGCAAAGTGCACGGTGGGTTTGAAGCCCAGCTGTTCCTCAACGAGCTTCAAATTGCGCTTCCAGCCCTCGATCAGTGACTCGGTAATGTGATTGAATTGGTCGTTACCGTGGCCCGTTTGCTCCAACCAAAGCCACTGGATTGACGCTGCCTCGATTAAGGACGTCGGCGTATCTGCGTTGAATTCGTAGAACTTTGGTACGCGAAGCCGCGGATCAGGATGGTCTAGACCGCCAAAGCAGACGTCGAAGCGACCGTAGATGCTTCCCCAAGCAGGCTCTCGATCCCACGAGTCGACGATTTGTTTGAGGGTGTACGCGGGAACTGCCATCTTGTCTGTAATGATGTCTTTATGTTCAACGAGATAGTCTACCGCCTCGCAGCACATTGCAAAGACATCCTTGGATGCGGCCTCCAACAAGGCCACCTCCTCAGAAGTGAAGGAATAGTAGCGGTCATCGGGCCAGTATGGTTCTGTTCCGCCTGGCGTGACGAGGTCGGCGAAGACGAGACCTTGACTTTGAACGAGGCGTGTGGCGTTTGGCCTCTTCTGTACAGGTACGCGGCGCATGGTTGGTAATGTTGATGGTGATGATTTTAAGCTGATTGACGTTGGTGTACCTGTGAGAGAGCCGGTTGGGAGGACGTTGGTTCGAAGAGAGAATGGCGGGGAGAGTTGGACTGAAAACTACCGATCATGCCAAGATGCAACTGAGTAGACTTTGATATCCAGTGGCGCTGCATTCAATGCAAACTCTCTCTCAAACTCGTTGTAACCGAGCATGAGAATCGCCTGCTATTAAATGATGCCAAGACTTTTTTATGTTGGTTGCAGAGTGGGATGAAGTCGCCTGACTTGTGGCTTTGCTCTTTATCAGGAGACAACGACTCAGTGACATGGCGATCAAACGCAAAGTGGCAGCCGGCTCGACCGGCATCATCCCTACACATGCGATGAACCGCGCCCGCTCTTTCTACGCGCAGAATGCGAATGGCAGTTCGTTTTCGGACCCCGCCGATCTCTGGGCGCTCAATTTTGAGTTTAAAGGTCAGCCTGGGAAGTTTGAAGGCCTGCCGGTAACACCGTTAGGGTCTTGGCGCATTGCACAGAGGGAAGAAGGCCTGCCCTACAGCAAGGATGACTTCATATATTTAAAGCTTCTTTTTTAAGCTTCCAGGAACATGTCACAGAAGCACAGGTTTTGGAAAGATTTGGCGAGCCGAGGCACTGCATAGTAGAAGAAAAAGAAGGTCTTAATTTAGAAAAATCTATCGTCCCATGTATTCCAGTTTACCAACCCCACATGTTCTCAATATTGTTGCACCAATCGGTCGGGATTCCACAGAAGTTTTGGTCGGCCTCCGTCGGGGCCTTGACGCACTTGTTCTCTCCAGCCTTGTTGCGGATGCACACGGCCGTGACGGCCTGCGGGTTGGGCCACGCCTGGCGCATCTGGCAATCCGGGTTAAGTGTGATAGTGGTGCCTTTGTCACGAGAGTACCACTGCCAGGCGCCTAGGCAGTAGCCAGTAGAAAATCGGAATCCTGTGATAGCGTCTCCCATAACCGTTATATCTACGCATAAGCCACTAGCGTGAGCTAAGACAAATAGCGCTACTATAGAGATAAAAGAAGAAAAGTATATCTAGTATTATATTAGTAATTAAAGTTCTTATTTATATAGGAATAGTAACTAATAACTTATATTAAAAGGATTATAGTATAATAAAGATAGTTAGAGTAAATATAGTTAAAAGTTAGTAAAGTATTTAAAAAAGAGTATAGAAATTACTTAGAAATATAGTTTCTATTTAAGTTATTTTAAGTTTAAGTATTTATATTAAGAGAGATTAAAAATTTATTTTATAGAAAAAAATAAAAAATATATTTCTTTTAATTAAGATCTAAAATATTAAAAAATATAAAATTATACTTCTATTAAATATTACTCTTAAAAGTCTTATATATAAGTTATATAAATAATATAATTAAAATATTTATAGAACTTTATTAATAAATATTTAATAAGTATTTAATATAAAGGATATATATAATTAATAGAGAAATAATATATTAAGTTAAGTATTCTTAAAAACTTTATAAAATAATAGGAGTATAAAGTTCTTAAAATATATTAAACTCTAAAAATATAAATATAAACTTTATTTATAATATATCTTATAAATATCTTTATTTAGATAACTAATATTTATTCTCTAAAGTTTATTAAATATAATTTTTATTAACTATATTTTTTTAATTTTTTTTTTAATTATAATAAAAAAAATATTCTTTTATTTAGTTTATAAATTATAATAACTACTTTTTTCTTTATTTATATAGCTAAAAATACTAAAACCTATAAGAATTATTATACTAGCTTAAATAATAAAATTATAAACTTTAAGAATTATAATAGTAAATAACTTAAAAATATTAGCAGTTTAGTTAACCTATATAAGTAAGTATTATAGTTCACTTTATACTTTTTTTTATAGTATTAAAACCTAATAGCAGCACTTTAACTTATATTTAATCTTAATAAAGTAAATAAATAAATCTTAGTATATTAGTTATTAATATTTAGCTTAACTTATCCTTAGTAGAAGAGAGTAAGTAGGTAGATAGCAGAGTAGTAAAATATATTAGTAAGAGCGTTATTTATAATACTGTTATTTATAAGCATATTATTTATAACGCTATAGATAGTAGATTAGCTATAATAATTATAAAGGTGTTATTCTATAATATAGAACGCTAATAGTATTTATAGCTAAAGCTTAATAATAGCTTAAACTTATACTTAAGGGTATAAACTTAATAGTATAACTCTTTATATAGCTAAAAAGGTTCTTATAGCTATAGTATAAAAACTTAACTATTTAAATAAAGCTTTAAGCTTATTCCTTATATCCTCTTATATATATAATAACCTTATATAATATCTTTCCCCCTTATTATACCTATATATAAACTAAATAAAGTTACTTTAAATAACTTAACCTATAAAACTAAAGTAAATAAAATTAAAAGCTCTAAGTATAGTAACTTTCTATATATTAATAAAAAGATTCTATTTAAATTTACTTAGAAGTATTTACTTAAAATAGTTAATAAGTATAATATATTAGAGTTATATAGTCTTAAAATTAATATAGATATAGTTAAAGCTACTAATAATAATCTTAATACTTATAAATACTTTATAAGCTTCCTTAAGATAGCTAAAGTAGCCTAAGTAGTTAGTAAGTTAAGAAGGGTAAATCTAATATTAAGAGTATAGCTAATAGTAGTAAGGCTCTTTATTAAGACTACATAGCAGAGTAGAAGATATTATAATAGCGCGATAGTATAGAGGCCTTAAGGCTTCTATACCTAGTAGAGTAGCATAAATATCTAAATAGTAGAGGAGACTTAGAAGATAGGTATAGATTAAATATAGCGTAAAGATAGAAGCAGCTAGAAGAAGATAGTTAAGGCTTATTATAATAGTTAAAGTTATAATATCTAAGTCTAAAAGTTATATAACCTAAAGGTTATTAGCAGAAGGTAAGGGGATTAGTCTAGCTTTTACAGTTAATATTAGTTAAATTTCATAATATAAGGCTAGCAGCCTAGCTTTTTTAATATTATATTTAATATAATTAAGCTTATTAAAGTTTTAATTAATTTATAAAATACTTTAAATATACTAAAGTTTAAAACTTTTAGAGATTACTTTATACTTATATAAGTATATAAAAGTAAAGATATTATAAATATAATACTAATTAAGTAATAAAGTAATATATTTAAAAAAAATATTAATAATTATTAATAATATAAATAAAGTTAAGAAACTTAAGAGAGATATTCTTTTAAATTTTATAACTTTTTAGGATTTTTTTAGAGATATAACTTTCTTAAAACTAAATATATTAAATTAATTTATAAATTTATTATTAAAGATATTAATAAAAAAAGATATATAAAGATCTATATAATATTTATTTTTTAAATTAGAAATAATATAATAAAAGCTTATAAAAAAGAATAAAACTACTTAAAAAAAAGAGATTTTATTATTTTTATTAAAATTTATAAAATAAATAATTAATTTTTAATTATAATTATTAATTAGAGAAGTAATTTATATTTCTATTTAAATTTTATTTAAAACTTTAAATCTATTTTTAATATTTTAAACTATTTTTAAACTATTTTCTAAAATATAATAAAACCTATTAAAAATCAATATAGAATCTATAAAATATTAATAAAAATATAAAACTTTATTAATTCTATTATTTTTATTATTTTTAATTTTTAATTTAAATTATTAAATAACTTTTAGAAATATAACTTCTATAATATTAATTTTACTTATTATATATTTTATAAAAGAAATTATAGTTTAAAAATAACTTAGTTATAATATATAATTAAAAAATAAATTATAAAAAATAATTATTCTAAACTCCTTTTTAATTATTAAGTTTAGTTTATTATTAATAAATTTAAGTTATAAAGAAATAATAATATTAAAGAACTTTAAACTAAACTTAATTAAACTTTCAATAAATAAATAAATATTATAGATATTATAGCTAGAAATAATAGAAATTAAAAATCTACTAATATAAATTAAATTAAAAAGAGGGTTAAAAGGTTATATTTAGCTTATTTTAATTAGTTTTTAGTTATTTAAGATTTAACTTAAATTACTAAAAAAGATTTAATTACCTTTTTAAATATTTATAATTTAGATAACTTTATGAAAAATAGAGATTTAAACTTTTTAACTTATTAAGATAATATTAAAAAGAGAGATTATTTTATTAAAAATATTAAAAAAGAATAAAATTAATAAATTAAAATAAATTTTTTTAAAAACATATATATTAAATAAAAATTAAAAAATAAAAACTAAAATGTAATTTATTTAAAAAGATTATTAAACTAAATAATTATATTTTAAATAACTTCTTTTTAATATAAAATAACTTAATTAAAGATATTATTTAGAAAATAAAACTTTGAAATTTTTATTTATTTTTAATTATACTAAAAAGATATTTACTATTTAGTATATAATATACTAAAAAACTATAAAAAAAGAAAATATTATTTATATAAAGTAAGAGATAGTTAAAAATTTAATTTAAAGTAAAATTAATAATTTAAAAACTTTAAAAGTTAAATATAATTTTCACTATATAAAATAAAGCTAATTAAATCTTTATTTCTATAATATATAAAAAACTTAGAAAATATATAAAAAGAAGTAGAAAACTTAGAATTTTTAGTAATTTTAACTTAAAAATAAGAAGTTAAATAAATACTTTTATAAGTATTAAGTATTATTATAAAAAGAAATAATTTATATAAATAAATAAAGATTTAGTTAATTTATAATAAAAAAACTAAATAGATAAATAAAAAAATATATTTATTTTTATGTAAAGTTTTATTTTTCTTTAATAACTTTAATAACTACCTCTTTAAAAGAATTTTTAAAATTCTTTAGTTTAATTTATAGAAAAAGTTTATTAATTCTTATTTTTTAAAAATTAAATAAATATAAGTATTTCTAAGCTTTTTTAGCTTTAATTAGTTTTATTTTTAACTTTTATTTTAATTTTTATTATACTTCTTTAATTATTTAAAGTAAAAATAAAGTAAAATACTATAAAGATATTACTATTAAACTTCTTTTTAGTAATTTATTTTTTCTTAAGAAATTATATAATTTAAAGTATAAAAAGAGTAAAATATATAAATAAAGTATAAGTTAGTTAGGTTTATATTTATATATTTACTTTTATATTTTTTTATAGTTATCTAGAAAATTAATATAGAAGTATTTAGGTATTTTTAGAGGTTTTCTGCTTAAAGTAGAGTACTTAGTATAATTAATAAGTTTTCTCTCTTATTTTATTATAATATCTAAAAAGGTTAATAAATAAACTTAAAGGTTAATTACTTAATATTATAAAAAGCTTTTATATTTCTCTTTATTATTATAATTACTTTTTTTAATATAATACTAAGTTAAGTTACTAATAATAAAAAGCTCCTAAAGTTTATATAATTAGTAATATTATTATAAAAAGTTAAGAAATCTTATTATTATTTTAAATATAAGATATAAAATTATAAAGCTTAATACTTCTAATAACTTTAGTATAACTTAGTAATATTATTACTATTATAGGTAGACTAATATTTTAAGTAATTCTATCTATACTTATAAAATTACTACTTTAATTAGAATCTAATTATAAAAAGCTTATTCTTATATTATCCTTAATAGTACTAAAAATTTCAAAACTAATATAAATAATAAAAGTAATATAACTTACTAGAAGCTTTTATATAGAGTAATACTTATACTACTATATCTTAAGTCCTAAATATTAGGCGTTATATGTTCTCTATACGACTATAAATTATTAAAAACCCTGAGAGGCTAATTCTAAGCCCTCATCTGAACGAAATAGTTAGAGTTCTTCTATTGAACCTAGTACCTAGAGGATAGTGTAAATACTTTCCAGACCATCAATCTAGTCTCACATAAGTTCAGAA